GGGAATTCTTCCTGTGCTTTATCCAGAGCCCGCTGCCCATTCCCATCCCTGCCCCAACCCCTTCATCCCTCCCTCCTCGCCTCCAGCTTCTCCTGGGATGGAACTGGAATTCTGGGGATGGAACTGGAATTCTGGGGATGGAATCGGGATTCCCAGGATGGAATTGGGATTCCCAGGACTGAACTGGGATTCCCAGGGACGGAATTCCAATTCCCAGGAAGGAACTGGGATTCCCAGGACAGAATTTGGATTCCCAGGACAGAACTGGGATTCTGGGGATGGAACTGGGATTCCCAGGGATGGAATTCCAACTCCCATGACGGAATTTGGATTCCCAGGAAGGAACTGGGATTCCTGGGAAGGAACTGGGATTCCCGGGGATGGAATTCCAACTCCCAGGATGGAACTGGAATTCCCAGGGACGGAACTGGAATTCCCAGGATGGAACTCGAATTCTGGGGATGGAATTGCGATTCCCAGGACGGAACTGGGATCCCCAGGGATGGAATTGCGATTCCCAGGGATGGAACTGGGATTCCCAGGAAGGAATTGTAATTCCCAGGATGGAATTGGTATTCCCAGGAGGGAACTGGGATTCCCAGGGACAGAATTTGGATTCTGGGGACGGAACTGGGATTCCCAGGGATGGAATTCCAAATCCCAGAACAGAACTGGGGTTCCCAGGGATGGAATTCCAATTCCCAGGATGGAACTGGCATTCCCAGGATGGAATTTGGATTCCTGGGATGGAACTGGAATTCTGGGGATGGAATTGGTATTCCCAGGACAGAACTGGGATTCCCAGGATGGAATTGTAATTCCCAGGATGGTATTGGAATTCTGGGGATAGAATTGCGATTCCCAGGATGGAACTGGGATTCCCAGGGATGAAACTGGAATTCCCAGGATGGAATTGGGAATCCCAGGAAGGAACTGGGATTCTGGGGATGGAACTGGGATTCCCAGGGATGGAATTCCAATTCCCAGGACAGAACTGGGATTCCTGGGAAGGAACTGGGATTCCCAGGGATGAAATTCCAGCTCCCAGGATGGAACTGGGATTCCCAGGATGGAATTACAATTCTCAGGGATGGAATTTGGATTCCCATGACAGAACTGGAATTCCCAGGACGGAACTGGGATTCCCAGGACAGAATTTGGATTCCTGGGACGGAACTGGAACTCCCAGGGATGGAATTCCAATTCCCAGGCCAGAACTGGGATTCCCAGGGATGGAATCGCGATTCCCAGGAACGAACTGGGATTCTGGGAATGGAACTGGGATTCCCAGGCCAGAATTTGGATTCCCAGGCCAGAACTGTCATTCCCAGGGCCAGAATTCCATCCCCCATCCCGGCACCGCGGCCCCTCACCAGCAGGTCGCTGTGGGGGATGGAGAGCAGCAGCTTGATGAAGGTCTGCAGGGCGTTGTCCAGCGCGTCGTCCCCGTAGAGGCGGAAGACGCCGAAGTTGACGTAGCTGCCGCTGAGCGCCGCCTTCAGCATGGAGAAGCAGATGGAGATGCCCTTGAGCTTCAGCGCGTACACCTGGTCCTTGGGCACCTCGCCCAGCGTCAGGATGCGATTCCCTGCGGGAATTCCGGCTCGGGATCACCACTCCATCCCGCCCCGGGGCCC